GCCTTTTCCTCCTCTTATTCATAAACTGCTCCCCCTGACTGTTCGCAGTACTCCCAGGCCTCCACAGTGCTATCTGGTGGGGGGATCCGACAGCAGTTCTCCCTGCCGGAGAACATCCACCTCTCCCTGGCCTCTGCCGACTTCCTGAGGAACATCAATGTAGGTCACTGGAAATGAACAATGAGGCTTGTCATTAAATGTGACAGAACATGTGCTTTGTTAATATGTGAACACTTGTTGTGGAAGTTTTCCATTTAAATAAAGCCTGCAGACGAGCGGTGAGCGGTAGCTAACATTCTTTAATCAAAACACACAAAGAACAGACAACCAAGCTTGGTGGAGAGCCTACATGACCGCGGGGAAGACGGTCAGCAGAGTCTCCCCAGCCTAGCATGGCTCTCAGTTAAATACCTTCTTCAGGAACAAAAGGCAGTATACAGCTGTTTCACACCTTAAGGTTCACACTCCCTTGCTGAGTCCTCGAAGAGACAAAAGATCCTTCCTGTGGAGTTGTCTGCTTCCCCCAACTTCCTTACTAGACCCCCACCATTGTCTTACTGTATGAGTGTGAACATGTGAAATCCAGTGGCACCAAGGCATTATACAATAAAATAATGTGATTAATACACAAGTAAAAGAAATTCCTATACAACACTTTATAGCCATGTCAGATGAGATCAAAGAGGACCTATTATACTTTTTTCTGTCATACAGTGCTGTGAAAAAATCCCCCCCCCTTCCTGATTTTAGGACTTGTACGTCTCAGATCATCAAACAAATTTTGATATTAAATACAAAATGCAGTTAAATGTTTAATTTAAAGAGTGCAAACTGTCACACCTCTGAATCCCGTCAGGAGCATCTCGGCGTGTTGAACGAAGACCCCATAGACCTGCAGTTTAACCAATCTGGATACCTCTTCCTGGCCAGTGAGGCGGTGGCTCACATCATGGAGGAGAACTACAGCACCCAAAGGTATCAGGCTCAAGAAACCAGTGCTCACACCACAGAAAAAACCCACAGTGTGTAACGTGAAGGGCCGGGAACGGTCATTTGCCATTATTAATTTTCAGAGTTGCAGTTAATTTTAAAAATGTCCTGATATATTTACATTTTGGAAAGAAACTGAACTCATAAAACAGCCATAGGGTTTATAAATTATACATTTTTCCATTTTCAGTCCTAGAGGATTTCTGTAAGGTGCTAGAATGAATAAATAAAAACACTAAGGACATTTTTCATCTTATTCTGTGATTAGTTACATATTAGTTGCTAAGTTTGTGAGTTTTTGGGATATCAGAAAGCTAAAATTGAACTCACATTTCAGGTACGCTGGAGCCAAAGTGTCTCTCCTGTCTCCGACACAACTGAAGGAGAAGTTTCCGTGGGTAAACACAGAGGGTGTGGTTCTTGCTTCATACGGTGAGTGCAAATAAAATGTGAACTGAAGG